TTCGTGGCGTTTTGTTAGTAAAATTCAACTGGATTTCTTAGATTGTGAAAATGAATTTATTTAAACCAAATATGCTGCATTATTATCGACAATGTTTCGCCATTTTTCGGGTAGAATCATGACGCCATCGGTGAAGAACTTCTGCGGTTTCTGGTTCAAAAACTGAATCAAGTGGTTTTCACAGGCTTCTTTTGAAGCCAGTTTAATTCCATTGAGAGAGTTCTGCAGAGATCGGAACAAGTGATGGTCAGAGGGTGCTATGTTTGGACTATACGTTGGGTGCATCAAAATTTCCCAACCNGGTCAGAGGGTGCTATGTTTGGACTATACGTTGGGTGCATCAAAATTTCCCAACCAAACTCACGTAATTTTTTACGGGTCGTCAAAGAAACGTGTGGTCGGGCGTTGTCGTGATGGAAGACAACACTTTTCCTATTATGCAATTCGGGCTGTTCTTTTTTCAATTGCGTGGCGTAATCTCTCCAGTTGTTCACAGTAGAGTTGAGAATTAATCGTCTGACCAACTGGAAGCACCTCATGGTGGACGATCCCCTTCCAGTCCCACCATACACACAGCATCACCTTTTTTAGCGTCAATCCTAGCTTCGCGAACGCTTGTGACGGCTCACCATCTTTTGTTCACGATCTTTGGCGCTTCCGATTGTCGTACGTGATCCATTTTTCGGTTATGACACATTTCAGAAATGGCACGATTTCATTATTTTTCAGCAGCGCATCACAGATGTTGATTCGATTCATCGTGTTTTCCGCGCTCAATTCATGAGAAACCCAAACATCCAGCTTCCGTTTGTATCCAGCTTTGCGTAAATGGTTCAAAAAACTTTTGTGGACAATGCCTAGTTCCACACCACTATCGATACTACTAATATGCTTATCTTGCTGGACATTTTCAACAATTTCATTAGTTTTTTCAGTAACTGAACGACCAGAGCATGACTCGTCCTTCACATCAAAATTACCAGAACGAAAGCGAGCGAACCATTTCCGCGCAGCTGATTTTAATAATGTACTTTCACCATACACAGCACAAATTTTTCACAAGCCTGCGCAGCGTTCTTTCCTTCGTCGTAATAACATTGTAAAACATAGCAAAAGTTCTCATTATTTCTCTCCATTTTCAAACGCCACCAACTTTCCAAGTACTGCACCACCACGATGTTTATACGCCCAAAATAACGTTCAAGTCTCACCTTTAAATGAAGCGTTTAATGGTATTGTTGCAATAAGTTGTTCGTGAGTTATTAACAATTGACGACATCTATCGGAAAAACGCCACGAACTTTTTCCCAGGCCCAATAATTTCCTGTTTCGCTAGCGCCGTCGATTCTAATCTAGCGTGTCCTCTCAAGTTCGACGTACCAGTTCCAGACAAATCGAAAAGTACCGGGGAGTAACGCGAGAACGATTGTTACAGGGCATTACTACGAATGGGTGAGTCCTCAAGAGCAAGGGACTCTGAAGCCTCTGGCAGGGAAGGCTGTTTGCCGCAAGTGCCACCCCCGTTGCAAGAAATGCACCGGTTACGGGTTCCACGAACACGTGTGCCAGGAGTGTACGAAATTCAAAAGGGAGGAGCAGTGCGAGGACGAGTGCCCCGCCGAATATTTCGCGAATGCCGACACTCAGCTTTGCATACCGTGCTTCAGCGAATGCCGGGGCTGCTTCGGCCGGGGTCCCAATCAGTGCTACAAGTGTCGGAATTATAAGATCTATCTGGTAAGCGATACGTTCATTATTCCCTGCGGAAAATCTCTTGCTTGTAAAAAGCAACGAAACGAATGTTTGAACTTTGTCTTCCAGGACGAAGACATAGACGGCAACGCGACGGCCTTCAACTGCACGGAGACGTGTCCGCCCGAGTACCCTCACAAGATCTTCCCGCTGGACAGCGAGCCCTATTGCTCCGTGGAAACCGTGGGTCTCGGATTCCAAGTGGACAACGAGCTGCAACCGGCTCTCCTGGCTGGCGTGGTGGTGTTCGCGTTGGTGTTCATCGTGATCACTGCCTTGATCATGTACTTCTGGCGAATCCGGGCGAAAGCGAAGGAGAACACGGTGAAGATGACGATGGCGCTGACAGGGCTGGACGATAACGAGCCTCTTCGGCCGACCGGGGTCAAGCCGAATCTAGCGAAGTTGCGTATCATCAAGGAGGAAGAGATGCGGAAAGGTGGAATTCTGGGTTACGGAGCATTCGGGAACGTCTACAAAGGTGTCTGGGTACCCGAAGGGGAGAACGTCAAGATACCGGTAGCTATAAAGGTCCTGCACGATGGCACAGGAGCGAACACGTCCAAAGAGTTTCTGGACGAGGCGTACATAATGGCCAGCGTGGAGCATCCGAACTTGCTTCAGCTCTTGGCCGTCTGCATGACCTCGCAGATGATGCTCGTCACGCAGCTGATGCCGCTGGGATGTCTGCTGGACTTTGTGCGCACGTTCAAGGACAAGATCGGCTCGAAGGCTCTGTTGAATTGGTGCACGCAAATCGCCAGAGGCATGGCCTACTTGGAAGAGAGGAGACTGGTCCATCGGGACCTTGCCGCGCGGAACGTCCTCGTGCAGACGCCAAACTGCGTGAAGATCACCGACTTCGGTCTGGCCAAGCTCTTGGACATCAACGAGGAACAGTACAAAGCCGCCGGTGGCAAAATGCCAATCAAGTGGCTGGCTCTAGAGTGCATCCAGCACCGAGTGTTCACGCACAAGTCCGACGTCTGGGCCTTCGGCGTGACCATCTGGGAGGTTCTGACCTACGGCGGCAGACCTTACGAGAACGTGCCTGCCAGGAACGTGCCGGAACTGTTGGAGAAGGGCGAGAGACTACCGCAGCCGACGATCTGCACGATCGATGTTTACATGATCATGATCAAGTGCTGGATGCTGGACGCGGAGTCCAGGCCCAGCTTCAAGGAACTGGCGGAGGACTTCGCAAAGATGTCCAGAGACCCCGGCCGATACCTTGCCATCAAGGGCGATAAATACATGAGGCTACCTTCGTATACATTGCAGGTTGGTAATGTGAAAAGCTACTTGGTATTGTTAACCCTTAGCGCTCCACGGGTTTCTCGAGTACTACCACCAGCAACTCCGGCACATTTTTGGAGCAAAGCGCCCGAGATAAAGGAAATCTTGTTTTAAGCGGAAAAGATTACACGTCCTTGTGAAAGCGTTTGATTTTATTCATTTTATATTGCTAAGTATAAAAATGAGCAAAAAATGTTTTAACCGTAATGGTATCTACTTAACATTGTGCGAGGTCAGTACATCGACATCATAAATTGTGACCGAAATTTCCAAGCAACAAATGCATCATCGTCGAAATGGGTAAATTTACTATTAACGATATTCTTCGCAATTCTTAAATAAATATATCCCTCGTGTTCTTTGACGCGATTTATTATAAAATTAGCATTGCGAATCGTTTGTTGAATTCTGTTTGGATACGGAATTATTGAAACAAAAATATCTTTTGCATGAGTTTGCCGGAATTTTTTTATCGTTAATCTTCACTGGAATCGGCTCGATTAATAATTAAATTGAATTAAAAATTAGTAAATATTCTTCGAACGTTCTAAAATAAAGTTGAACAGCGATTTTCTGAAAAATATCACTACCAGCAACTCCGGCACATTTTCGGAGCAAAGCGCCCGAGATAAAGGAAGTCTTATTTTGAGCGGAAAAAATTACACGTCCTTATGAAAGCGTTTGATTTTATTCATTTTATGTTGCCAAGTATAAAAATGGGCAAAGAATGTTTTAATCGTAATGGTACACACGCTAAGCACGTTTTCACTACAAATAACAATTGCCAACGTCGACAAAAAGATAGCATCTTCGGTGTAATCATGCTAAAA